ATGATGGAAATATGGTCGTTTCTGGGAATATTACTTTTGTATTCCATTTTTCGCCTTCTTCACTGGAGTAGTTTGCCGTCAGCTCCGACGCTCTACTGGAAAGAAGGGTCGAAATTCGTCCAAGAGATTATCAACTCATGTCCATTTCTAACCGAACCGTAAGTATTTGAGGGTATTAATCAATGGGATTAGATATTTCATTAATAACGAAACTATTTCGTAATGAGACTTTGATTGAAATAATTGGAACCGTACTTTATTTTTCTAAAATGTTCCGGATTATAGGCAGAGCCAGTTAACACATCTAAACTAACGAGCCCTTGTCTAGTCTAGTCGAACAGCTATGGTTTTGGACAAGGACGGTTAATAGTATACCTCCTTGTTTGGGACAACAATCGATAATTTATGAAAAATCTAGTTATGTTCCTTGTGTTTCCTTTGGAAATCTATTTCAATAACTTTTTTTCCCACCTTTTTTTCACCGCGGTTTGGGGTGGGGAAAGGGGGGGGGGGGGGGGTTTGGGGATGTGGGGGGGGGGGGGGGGGGGGGCTGGGAGTGTATGGGGATTGTAAACTAAAGTCTGAATTCTCTCAGAAAATTGATAATGTGTCTCAGTATTAAGAGGTTTCTGTATTATCTATGATTGAAACTTTTTAAAAAATATCACAGCCAAGTGATCATTCACAATTATTTTGACATTGTATTATTCCAGGGTTTTCCATAATTTTGTTAGTAGTAGGCTGTGTAGTGAAAGTAGGAGGCTGGCCTGCCGTGTACGTGTAGTCGTGTACGGAACATTATTATGTAACTGGATTGGTGTAGGCGGCCAAATGATCAAAGTAGGCGGTCAAATTGGCCGGCTCTTATGGAAAACCCTGTATTCATTACATTTTTTGATACTGCATTTGGCAATGCCATTGTCGGAATACTCCTGTTACGTACATTTTTGTTGTAGCAATGCCATTGTCGGAATACTCCTGTTACGTACATTTTTGTTGTAGCAATGCCATTATTGGAATACACCTGTCACGTACATTTTTGTTGTAGCAATGCCATTGTTGGAATACACCTGTCACGTACATTTTTGTTGTAGCAATGCCATTGTCGGAATACACCTGTTACATACATTTTTGTTGTATTCAGCAGTGGCGGAAAACAGCTGCATTTAAGCAAGTGCGATAATTCAAAAGAATTACTCTCTGAATTTATTTAAATACTTTAATGTTTAGAAATGTAAAAAGTTATTGAAATAAGTGATTTTACAAGTAGCAGTGAACATGTCGATCGATGAAAATTCATAAAATTAGTGTTAGATGCGATGAAGTTTGGAACTATATTTCTGTGCAGAAGAGTTACTTTGACATCCGTCGTGCAGAAGAGTTACTTTGACATCCGTCTTCACGCAAAATTCAGCAAGAAAACTTGAAGTTTCAATAGTCTGATTATCAACGAATGTTGCATGATAAATAGAACACATGGTCAGAGAATATACATGGTTAGTGTCTTAAAATATCAGCTGTATTTGGGTGAGGGTGAAGAGCTTGAACCAAAATGCAGATTATATTTAAAGACACTAACCATGTATATTCTCTATATATAGGTCTGGATGTGTTGAACAACATGGTCAATTCAGAATACAATAAAAGTTAATAGAATGTATGAATAATTTGAAATACTGAAAATCAGTAAAAATTAAAATATCGCAATGTAACACTTTGTTATGGGGTATTTGATGTACCTGGAAAATATAATCCTGTTATGTTTGTGATGATCCTTGATACATTCTATTCAGTTGTAAAATAGAAGTCATAGATTAAATCAGAGACATTTATATGTGTGTTATATATGTCTCTGATTAAATCAAAGAAGTCTGCCAGGTTAGGCTGTATTACAACATTGTAAATTTGTAGAAGAATTGGTGAAAACCTGTATCACTTGACCACTGAACTTCTACATATTGATGTATTAAGTAAGATTCCTGCTCTTTAGGCCCATATCTACTGTAATGCCAGAATCTACCGGAAAGCTGCCCAGTCGATAAAGCGGCGGTAATTTGAGGTTTAAAAAATCTTTGTTTCCATACACATTTTAAGGTATGTCTAATTTCCAGATGCTTTCACAAGTTACCAAGTGCACAAAAGTCACGACAATCTAGATAGCCGAGAGCATGAAATTACGAGTTGTTAACATTAAAACTTTAATTCATGCTATCTATTGTGTTTAGGAAACAGCCATAACCCATCAGCAGTTAAAATCAAACTTTTGTGATGTAGTTCATCAATTATGAAATCAGGAATTTTGGAACATTTTCTTCAGATTGGTAATGCAGGGCTCTCGATCTGCCAGATTTATCGGCCCCATTCCCAATTAAAAAAAGTATCTTTTTATCCCAATTTAGACCCCAAGTTCTCCCAATTCTAAGGAAAATGCCGTTATTTTTCCCAATTCTAAGGGCCCCGGGCCCCAGTCCCAAAATGGGGTGTGAGAGCCCTGTAATGTCAATAGAATAAAAGTTCTTATAACACAACCAGTAGAAGATTAGTGTGTGACGTCACCTTCATCTTATAACACAACCTGTAGAAGATTAGTGTGTGACGTCACCTTCATCTTATAACACAACCAGTAGAAGATTAGAGTGTGACGTCACCTTCATCTTATAACATAGCCAGTAGAAGATTAGAGTGTGAGGTTTCGATGACTACACGGTCACCTTCATCTTATAACACGGCCAGTAGAAGATTAGAGTGTGACGTTTCAATGACTACACGGTCACCTTCATCTTATAACACAACCAGTAGAAGATTAGAGTGTGACGTTTTTTAAATGACTACAAGGTCACATTCATCTTATAACACAACCAGTAGAATATTAGAGTGTGAGGTTTCGATGACTAAATGGTCACCATCATCTTATAAAACAACCAGTAGAAGATTAGAGTGTGAGGTTTGGATGCAAACATGGTCACCTTCATTTTAGAAAACTTCCAGTAGAAGATTAGAGTGTGACATTTCTCACGACAGGGAAAATAACCTTTTCAGTTGGCTGGTTAAGGAGGCCATTTAGATACCATACAATGGGTCAGCACTAAACAGGGAGGAGGGGGCCCATAGACTCTCACACATCTATGACCAAGTGTTAAAGCCAAAATTGACAACAGTATATTGTTACCATCATATGTATTTTTGGTTTGTAATCTGTTTACCATCTCGTCACACTTTTTTCAGACCTACTGTCCGTGTGATTATAATACAGTAAAAAAGTTGGTTGATTCCAGACCATCTTGTACATATGTATGTCAGTGTTAGTACGAAGATGATCATGTAGTCATTGAAATGTGATTGAAACACCACAATCTAATCTCTCTAATCTTCTACTGGTTGTGTTATAAGAACTTCTGTTCTCCATAACTGGCTGACAGTGCATTCAATTTTCGCAGAAAGTGAATATATTTTCTAATGAAGTAATATCACTTTTTTTTTGTAACTAATACCTCATTTACCTTGAATTTAAATAATAATTGGCAATTTTCGTCTTTATCATGCACAATATGAATTTTTTTGTTTGCTTAAACACAAGAATATATTAAGGTATTGATCAATTAGATAATGGACGATTATGATCATCGTTCCATCATTACTACATTTATTACATGTTACCTCTTAAGTTAGTCCGAATCATTCTGACAATCGACCAAATTTTTATAAGAGAGTCGATCAGTATCAGAACATAGTTTCAATTAAATATGAGGAAATAAATGACTTGCACCAGGGTGATATTCAAAGGATTAATGTAGAAAGAAACTCTCACTTTTGGATTGAAATGTCATGTATCACCTATTTATAATTGCTAACATTCATGTACTCCTGGGCCTGTATTCATGAAACCATTCTCATGCTCAAGCATAGATTTTGTGCTCAAGCAAACTTTTTTATAATTCACCTAAATCATATAAAATAATACAAATGTCAAATATAAACATTGAATATAACTTTGACTTGAAGTCCTTTAAAAATTTTTTTTAATCTTGAGCAAAATCAGCCTTATTTATTAATTTATAACTTAAACAAGACATAAGGCTTGAGCACAAAATTCATGCTTGAGCATGAGGATGGTTTCATGAATACGGGCCCAGATCAATATAAACAAATCAGAATAACTCGCTCAAGGTAGACTTTACCAGGGCTGATTGATCAGTTGTGAGACATTTATAGAAGAAATTAAGCAGGGATGTTCTTTTTCAGCTTTACTATTCCGTGACTGTTTAAGACCGCTGTCATTTGATCAGGTTATGTCAAAGAGGAAGCACTCTAAATTAAACAATGTAAGTGACTTTTGCAAAATGGACAAAATTGCTGTAGGAACAGTGATTCAATAGCTGCATAAGAAAGGTCTAGAACCTAAGGATATCCATACTGATATGGTAGCAACACTAGGGAATGATGCCCCTTCATATGCTACAGTGAAAAGGTGGATGGCGGCAATTAAGTGTGGCAGGCAGAACCTTGGGAATGATGCCCGTCCTGGAGTGGTTTTGGCTTCAGGTTTATGGGATGCTGATGGTAGATTATCTGCAAAAGGGACAAACAATCAATAGAACATATTATGCATCAGTTCATATGCAGTCAAGAGAAAACATTAGACTCAGCCAACACAGAAAAGTCAGTAAAGGTGTGTTGTTCCACTAGGACAATGTCCTTGTTCACATGTCTGTCATGGCTGCCATTAACGATTGTGGTTGTGATGGAATTTTGGTCTTATTTGCCTGATATCGCCCCGTCAGACTTTCATCCATTTCCGATATTTGAAAAGTCCATTTCTGTACCCATTTTCGGTCAATTTCTGAAGGGTGAAGAAAAAGACTATTTTAAAAATGGCATTGAGGCCTTTAAACATCACTGGCAATTGTGTATAGACACTGAAGGGGATCATGTTGAAAGATAATGCAATATGTCTGCTGAAGGTCAAATCCTTAAATATGACATCTATGGCCAAGTGTTAAATAAAGTGTAGCCAAATTGACGACAGTACATTGTTACCATCTGGTGTATTTTTTTGTTCTGTTGATGTTGACTCACCTCATCTCATTAATATACAATTTTTGAGCTGGCTTCAAGTAGTTTTGCTTCAGCTCATTTAAATATTCATGAGCATGCTATTTAAATATTGATGAGGTTGGCTTTGTCTCATTTGAATATTCATGAGTAATGTTTGCATCATTTGATTAAAGAATTCTTGAACTTGCAGTGGAATTGACCTCATGCCATTTAAATATTCATGAGTATACTTAACCTAATCTCACTTAAAGTCATAAGCCTGTTTAGCCTCATCTCATTTAGATATGTTTATGAGCTTGATTTCAAGTAATTTGAATATTCATTAGCTGCCTTTGCCACATCTATTGAATATGTAAGCTGACCTCATTAAGATATATGAGATAGTATGACCTCACATCATTTTAATATGGACAAACATGGTCTCATCTGATCTGAATATTCATGAACTTGATCTCATTTGCTAAAGGAGGTCCAGTGCCTTATGGTCAAGTGTCTGACTGGATTGTTAATGAAGGTAAACCAGAATTGATTTTTTGTTTCAGAGTTGAGAATCACTAGGGGCCTCCCACAGGGTGTAATTACTGTAATAAGTAAATGCTGAAGACAGAGTAATCTAGAGATGGCCATGGTTCCCTCAGGATCCGGAATAGCTCATCCATTTTTAATCCTCGTCTTAATTAAGTTTGTGTGAATCCCATAAATAAGAATGGTACAGATGTATCTGGGAACCTGCTATTACTTCCATATAATGAAAATTCCATTAGTTAGTGTAGTTGAAAATCACCAAATATACTCTGTGATAAATATAGGCCAGCCTCTTTATCGTTTATCAGTAAATTTATCATTTATCAGTAAAAGTTATCTTTTATCAGTAAAAGTTATCATTTATCAGTAAAATGTATCCTTTGTCAGTTAAATTTATCGTTTATCATTAAATTTATCATTAATCAGTTAAATTTAACATTTATCAGTAAATTTATCATTAACAAATTTCGTTTATATTAAATTTTCAAATCATCTTTTTGTTTATCATTAAATTTATCATTAACATAAATTTTTTTATGTAAATTTCATTAATCAGTTGAATTTATCGTTTATCATTAAAACTTCAGAAAAATTTATTGTTTATCAGTAAATTTATCATTTATCAGTAAAAGTTATCGTTTATCAGTAAAATGTATCCTTTGTCGGTTAAATTTATCGTTTATCATTAAATTTATCATTAATCAGTTAAATTTATTGTATATAGTAAATTTATCATTAATCAGTAAATTTCCCCTCAGATATTTCATGTACAAATTTCCTTAATATTTTCAAATCATCTTTTTGAAATAAGATTTCTTCACATAATTTTTTTATGTAAGATATTAAGACTGATTCATGTGGAACTTCAGGAAAAATTGCGTATTGTATCACTTGTAGATTATTATCATTGTAATAGGAACGGGGTGGTGTGACATGTATATAGTATTAAATACGGTCTCTGTCACCCAGCTGACAGGGTGGTGTGACTTGTATATAATGTTAAATACAGTCTCTGTCACTCGGCTGACGGGGTGGTGTGACTTGTATATAGTATTAAATACGGTCTCTGTCACCCAGCTGACAGGGTGGTGTGACTTGTATATAATGTTAAATACAGTCTGTCACTCAGCTGACAGGTCGGTGTGACTTGTATAAAGTGTTAAATACTGTCTCTGTCACTCGGCTGGCAGGTTGGTGTGACTTGTACATAGTGTTAAATACAGTCTCTGTCACTCGGCTGACGGGGTGGTGTGGCTTGTATATAGTGTTAAATACAGTCTCTGTCACTCAGCTGACGGGTCGGTATGGCTTGTATATAGTGTTAAATACAGTCTCTGTCACTCAGCTGACGGAGCAAGCTTCTTATATTCAGTTAGTAGGGCTGGTCAGCCGTTACACCAGAGACCCAGGTTCGATTCCATCTCGTGTTCTTTCACATCAATATTAGGATGTATGCAAGAGTTGTTTACAAAAGCAAAAAGAAGAGCAGGACAATTAATTTAGAAAATGATTTTTCTTTTTTCAGAAAATGCTAAAATCTCTCCAAAGTTGATTGGTTCATGATAGTGTGACGTATTGTATCAAATGTGATGACATGGAGAAATAAGTTTTAAAACTGGTTTTCAATTTAGATGTGCTTGTTCATATGTATATCACATATCTACTACTGATATAATGTAGTGCTTCTGGAAACTACATGTTTCTTGAACAACGTTTTGTATATCATTGTCTTTGTATTGTTTCTGTTAAAGATATAAAGAATAACCCATAGGTTGGACGGAAATTATACAAAACTGACATATTTTAATATCTTCATATCTATTTATGTACTACCCTAATTTTTACAGAGTTTGTGTGAAATTTGTGTTGGAATAAGAAAGGAATTTCTTTTTCAGATACAAGCCGCCGTTATGGTGGGGAAAGAGTGGCCATATACAAACCATTGTCTATGCAAAATTAGGTAGAGTTAGCTCCCCTTTCCCAAAGGGAGAACGTCACTATATTGTCCTGTCAGATGGCGCCACCATGGTCTATGATGTATTTCAACCACACAGAGCTCATGAATCGGGAGGTAATTTTGTTCTTAAAAAATCGTGTTTTGTGTTTTATTGTGTATACATGAGAACTAGGTGTAGACTCACTATATCTGTTTGATGGGACTTATTACTGTGGTATAGTTAGCTTTCCATGTGTTAAATTACACACTAAATAAGGAAAAAGAAAGCAACTCACTTTCTAATGCTTAATTTTGAGTAGAATACTAAAAGCAAACATTTTGTCTACATTAAATATTCAAACTAAAGAACATAAAAATGCTTACATGTATAGTCATTTTCAAGTCTACAACTTCTTACTGTGCAGGACTTTTGGGAAAGGGCATTTACATCTCATTTTAGTGAGAAAAGGAATCATTTGGGATAGAAATTTTAGGATGAAGCTGAATATTTTGGAATTCATCATGGAATTCATTTATTATGAAATAAATCCAGTTGGTAATAGGGATCATGTTCCACCCCTTAGAGGCCCCCCCCCTCCCCGCTTCCTCTCCCAGAAAATGCCACGGTGGCTGTGATCAAGTGATGAAGTGTCTTACCATCTTTATCACTTGTCCTCAATCTCTGGGTTATAGGTTTGAGGCCAATGTGGAGCAGTGCCAGGCACTGGCATCTGTAAACAATTGAACATTTTCAACTTCTTCTCAAAAAGTCTTGATCCAATTTCAATGAAATTTTGCAGAAACCTTCCCTGGCCTAAGACGAACCTAAATTGTGAATTATACAGTCCCTAATCCCTAGGTGTCCTGTGTTGATCAGACAGTAATTTTTTCTTTGTAGGCGACTACACCATTACTGTGTGTCCAGGAATTGCGAATTCCAGCGAGGCATCTTACATCTGTACATTTGTTAACTACGCCCAGGAGAACGGCTACCGTGTCACGGTTCTAAATCATCTCGGAGCTATACGAAGTGTGAAACTTACCAGCTCAAGAATTTTCACATATGGTAAAATTGATGTTATTGAAATTTAAAAAAAAATAATCTAATACCAAATTAAAAAAAAAAATCATTTTATTTGATAAGAATACATTTTTTCTGTTCATGTTGATTTTGGTACATTGGTTTTTGTGTACAGGTACAATTTTGAAGCTCCCCCAAAACTTTCAGGGTGAGCATATATTTGCCACTTTGTCCAATCCATCAATCTGTCTTTCTGTGTCTGGAGCATAACTAACTGGCCATAGTGATCATGAAACTTGGTGTATACATTGGTCATGCTTAGGGGATGTGCAAGTTACCATTGTCAGGTCCTGCAACAAATCTCAGAGTTATTGCCCTTTGATAATTTCATTTAAACTAGGATAGTGAAATTTGTTGTAAGCAATGCTTATTCTAAAATTTTTGCCCATTGTTAAAATTTCATGTGTAGAGCATAACTTTGCTTGCATTAAACTCAAGATAATGCAAGTGAAAGCATATACATTTTACTGGATTCAGAGGTCACGACCCATCGATTACAGAATTAACTCCCTTTGTTAAAACCATTGAGGGGAGAGCATAGCTATTTTGCATTTAAACAAGGATTGATTGTACTAAGAACAGTACCATTGTCAGGGCCTGCAACAAATCTCAGAGTTATTGCTGTTCAATAAGTTTTTATGTCTGGAATATAACTTCGCTTTCATTTCTACTAGGATAATGAAATTTGGTGTGACCAAAACTCATTCTACATTCTAAGGGGATGTACGTTGTTACAATTTCATTTCCCACAAAACCTTCATTACAGAGTTATTGCCCTTTGTTGAATTTATGTCATGAGCAAAACTTTGCATTCATTTGAACTAGGATAATGAAATTGAACTTGTTGTATATATAGTTCATACTAAGAGGGTGGGCAGTGTTGCCATTTTAGATACTGCAATCCATCATTACAGAATTATTGCCCTTTGTTGAAATGTTTTATCAAATGAATTTTTTTTTGTGGGGAGCATGTATCAGTTTCACTGATACTCTTGTCTTAGTTTTGCTGTTTAATGTTAGTCTTTGTTTCCTTGTAGGTGGTACCGAAGAGTTCCACACCATGATACAGGAAGTTAAACAGTTGTACCCTGGGAGTAACCTTATTGCCTGTGGGTTTAGCATGGGTGCTAATATTGTCGTCAAATACCTTGGCGAGAAACCAACAAACCAGCAACAATTCCTCTGTGCCTTATCAATCTGTCAGGGTTACGATGTCAATCAGTAAGTAAGGGGAGGCAACTATCGAAATTCAAGGGAGGTAATCTGTGCAAATGAAGAGATAACATATGTGATTCAATACCAGTGAGTTTTGTAATTCAAGAGAATTGTGACTTGCGATTTGCCATTTGTCCATCCACTAAGGACATTAACTTAATATTTTGGAATTATTCAAAAGCATTCATATAAATTTTCAGTGTCAATTATCAGTGTAAATTATCAGTGTCAATTATCAGTGTAAATTTTCAGTGTCAATTATCAGTGTAAATTTTCAGTGTAAATTATCAGTGTCAATTATCAGTGTCAATTATCAGTGTAAATTTTCAGTGTCAATTATCAGTGTAAATTTTCAGTGTAAATTTTCAGCTGCTGATATTTTTTTTCTTTAAAAACAGTAGAATTTCCATGAATAATTAATTAAATGAGGTTTGATTTCATTGCCATTTAAATTATCCTTGACTAGCAATACTACATCCATCTAGCTTACAATATTCACTCAGTGATGTTTGATTTTGGTATTGTTAAAGTTTATTAATTTCGTGACATCTATTTCATCGTCACTACTTCTTGATTGGGGATAATGATGTCACGTCTTTCTTTGTTAAATGTTAAATTCATTAATATCTAATTTCGTTGTCACTACTACTTGACTGGAGATAATGACGTCGCGTCTATCTTTACGATGTTAAATTCAGTGATATCTAATTTCAGTGCCACGTCACTTCTGCTCGACTGGAGGTACTTACGTCGTGTGTATCTTTATGTGATGACGGCCAATCAGAAAGGCATGATGAGTCGACACCATGACAAGCTGATGGATCCAAAACTTCTCAAAAGCCATAACATAGACAGAGAAAGAGTTTTCAACTCAACCTCACTCGTTGAAATTGATGAGCTGTACACCAGGTAGAAATATGATATAATTTATTTCAAGAAAAATTGTTGGACCTGACAATATCGAGTCTTTCCAAACAATTTTATAGGGCATATCAAAAGTAAAGGGGGCAATCCTTTGTAAAGTCAAAAGAAAAATAATGGAGGGGTCAGTTTAAGTTTTAAAGTTATGAAGTTTTAAATCTTGAGGAACTCAGCTCTCCATAACCCCCTTTCAGGCCTGTGATATTTTGTGAAAATTTAATTTCTCTAACGCAAGATAAATTTTAGCATTCTACAACTATTCATTTAGACACCTACATTGGAATTTACTTTGTGTGTATAGATCTAAGGTCAGGCTGTAAATGCTGATTTTCTTCAAGGATATAAAAAAGCCTTAATTATATATACATATGTATACAACATGTATACTGCTGTTCTGTATGTTTACAACAAACACTTTTTTTCTGATTTAGTGATATGCCTACCTGCTAATTTTGAATCAGTGTGTTAAGGATTATTATGGGTTAAATGTATCTGTGAGGCAGTGTAACAAAATGAGTAAAAAATGGGTTTAATGGTAACTTTGGAATGGTGTGTATCGTAGAGAGCAGCATCTTAGTTTAAAATACATCAGGTCAAAAGTCGGTCAATGCTGGGCGAGGTAAAAATCATGTGATTGATAGGTAGTGATGCACGCCTGATAACGGGCGTGGTGTGCACACCAGTGTTGAAGCACCGTGGCAGAATATCGCCGGTATGATTGATCAGGACAGATAGATGCTCTCTTTTGTATGTCTCGCGCTGGCGAAGGTATTTGTAGGTAAACAAGATAAGAAACAATGTATAAGGTAGATCAAAGTTGATAACAGGTACTCCTAGTCGCACATGCCTTCATAATTAGATGTTTCGGGGGTTGGGTTATTGTTGTCCAATAGGGACTGGGCTGAGATTATGTATTTGGGTATTATTTATACTAAGACAATAGCCAGCAGAAGTTAGTCTGGGATCGAGTAGCTAGAGAGAGTTGGGAGTGGGACGTGGAGACGGGCAGAGTCCCGTATATTACCTGCTCCACGATGGAGCGGGCCCTGGCCAAGTTGGCCCAAGGACATTTGTATGGAACTCTTTGATATGGACGGGTAACCGATAGAACCTGAGGATGCTTCTGTATGTTAATTAGGAACTATCTTTTGTAATGGATATAACCGCGAAGTACAAACTATGGAAAACCACTATACGACGAAATAAACGTTTCGGTCAACCCATGTAAACACCATTTTTAGTCATTGTGTTACAGCAGTTCAGGCTCTGTCAAACTGGTCATACCTTTTTTGGACTGATTCGAATTCAAGATGGTCGACAGGTGGCCATCTTGGATTTTGGATGTAAAAGTTTGTTACCGCTATTTCTTGGAAAGTACTGGATGGATCTTTCTCAAATTTCATATGCAGGTTCCCCTTGGTCCCTTGTTGTGCATTGTACCTTTTTTGGACTGATTTGAATTCAAGATGGCCGACAGGCAGCCATCTTGGATTTTGGAAGTAAAAGTTTGTTACTGCTATTTCTTGGATAGTTCTGGATGGATCTTTCTCAAATTTCATATGCAGGTTCCCTTTGGTTCCAAGTTGTGCATTATATTTTTTTGGACTGATCCGAAATCAAGATGGCTGACAGGCAGCCATCTTGGATTTTGAGAGTAAAATCTTGTTATTGCTATATCTGAGGAAGTACTGGATGGATCCTTCTGATATTTCATAGATATTGGTTTCCCTTGGTCCCTAGTTGTGCATTGTACCTTTTTTGGACTGATTTGAAATCAAGGTGGCGCACAGGCAGCCATCTTGGATGTCGACAGTAATACAGCACAAGCATATTGTCCATTATCCACCTGTAACTGACTGCTATCTAATAATACTTTGGGATCTTTTTCAAATGATATTTGCTAATAGGTGCTTAATAAAAATATCTTGTGCCATCATTGAGTACATTCAATGAAGACCAGTTCATGAACATTTACAACACCTGTAACAAACAAAAAAAAATAAACAAATCTTCAAGAACTGAAAACAGATCCTCAAATGGTGGGCGCCAAGATCCCTCTGGGATCTCTTATTTAATGTTTGTTTTGTTTATTGATGTTTGTTTTGTTTTTGATGTTTGTTTTGTTTTTTGATGTTTGTTTTGTTTATTGATGTTTGTTTTGTTTTTTGAATGTTTGTTTTGCTTTTTTAATGTTTGTTTTGCTTTGAAAATCTTTAAGTGGAAGCATTTTAAAAAAAATTTTCATCGGTTAATTTAAATTAGTTTGAGCAACTGGGGCCTGAAGGTTTAAAGTAGCCTCCTGACTATTTAATCACACTGCCAGCAGCCACTCAAGGCTCAGGGTCACACTTCATATACAACCTGAAGACACAGTATCATGTAACACTGGTGAAATACTCTTTAATTCCGACTGACACAACATCTCAATTGTGGTAGACCATTAATCTGTCTTTCTGTTCATATTTTACTTTTTTAAAATTAAGTTTGAGTTTGAATTAGAATTTTCTTGACATGTTGGCCTTGAAGACTAATCTCTTATTTATATTTATATTTATTTCTGTAGGAGAAGACTTGGCTTTGAATCTCTAACAGATTATTACAGCTGGTGCAGCTGTCAGCCATTCATGCATGACGTAAGTACCACATCATACAAAAAAACTCACTTTATTTTTGATGCTGGTATCAAATCAGTAATTTGTTACATTTCTTTAATGGTCAGCACCTTGAATGTAACATTACAGGATTTATTCTCTATTAATTTCTTTCTAAAATTAATTAAATCAATAAATAGTTCTTAACTATAAAATATTTTTAAAAAATTAAATACAGAAATAGGGAGCTTGAAAAAAGGAATATACAGAGTTACTTCCCTTATCTATTGTTTCATAACAAAGTTTTATTGAAATTTTCAATGAACATCCTTTAATAATTTATACACAAATGAGTGATAACAATTTATACATAATTATCTGTTTGATACATCATGTAAGAAACAAGCTCCTGAAGACAAAATGCATTTTTCTCTCATATCCCGCCATATTGGATAGAGTTTGCCCTTGTGAGATAGCTATGTAAGAAAATTCTATCTTACATGGGCAAACACGTGCGCGGAGTAATCTGTGTTCATGGGAGACAACTCTTACAGCGTCGTCTGCTTGTTTGCATCGATCTGTCAGCTGTCATCGTCATGTCAACAAACAACATTCAATCGAGATTTAAAAAGTTAGATGTTCAGACACTGATAGAGGACTAGGAAAATGAAAATACACTGAAGAAGATTGGTTCACATGTAAAACTTCTGCCACCATTTCATCAACATCAACAGTTACTAGGCCTACATCTGATGTCACACTGTGTTTACCATCGTCATCACAACAAGAAAAGACGGTTAACACCTACAATCCTGTATCACAGAAACAATCTGAAACTCGCATCGAATCCTTGTTTGCTGGTTCTCACATTGAAAATTGCCAAATCACCGTAAATATCACCACAAATGTTCCACCACCCAAACGTCGTCGAATGATGGTGATCGAGAGCGACAGCGACTCGGAAAAGGAGATCGTGTGACGTCACGCCTTGAATTTATGAATGGAATTCCTTTGACTATGGTGACGTCATGTCAGCGTCACAGTATTTTGAAAAAATGTTAAAACAGTAAAAAGATAAATTGATATATTTCTTAAAATGATCAAATATGTGATTTTGATGATAAAACTATGTGTTGAATTATAAAAATCCGTTCCTTGTTGATTTCTTTGAAGTATTTGACAGAACAAGTTCTTTTCGCGGATGTTTACTTACACATACTATATAATCACAGAGATCATTTTTGTTTTTTTTTCATCTGCGAATAATATATTCATCCTGCAATATACCGAAAAATGGTTTGAAATTTGACAGCAAACTGAAAGCTTGCAAATATGGGTATGATCGTTTAGAATATCCAGTTCGTTTTTTATAAAAACCTTGGATTAGAAAAATGAAAAAAAAATGAAGATAATGGCCGACAGACTGTCCTTTTCCCAAAATTTTGGTAAAGATATGAGAGAAAAAGACTCTTTCATTATGTGTGTATGTAGGATAGGGATATTCCACCCTCGGGGTTACAAAATATGGTAAAAACCTCGGCAGAGCCTCGGGTTTCACCATATTTTGTGACCCTCAGGTGGAATATCCCTATCCTACATACACGCATATGAAAGAGTCTTATAATAAACAAATTACACAGAGGCACATTGAGGGGAATCTTAATACTTTATTACATTATAATGATATGGGCTAAGGGGCTATAACAGCTGTAGTGCCTGCCAAAACTTCAGTATTACCCAGCCAACAGGTAAATGCTTAGATACACTGTCAAGATATCAAAGCTGCTGGCTGAGCTATGTACCTGAAGAGAGGCAACTTAACTATTTACAGCCAAATAGAATTCTTGGGGGACTTACGAATTACGTAATGAAGTAAAATGCCCAAATTGAAGACGTACCACAGCTGAAATACCCCCAAGAAGTGACGCATCACTTCAGAAGAAACTTCACCATACACATATGGTTTTTAAAACAGTGTCAGAAATCTGTTGCCCTTAGGGACACCGACATTTTTCTATAGAATAATGTAAATGCTTTAATAATTCTTGTTTAGTTGTAGAATAAAGGCCATGTTGCACAGAAAATTTTGTATGAACTCCAAAAGGATTGACAAGGCAACTTGGACTGTTGAGAATGGCACTCTATGTTCTTTTTAATTTGCTGATCTTATATATTTAGATAACACGATCTCTTACTTCATGACATAATTTCAAAACTTGTTTTATCTCCTTTGTAGAGTTAGATGTGTTTTTTGGGCTATTTATTTATGCAGTTTGAGTGTTGGTTACAGTGACGATGAGTCTAGACACAGCCTCTAATAAAAGACCAGATATCCATCATTTTTACATGAAAGATTAACCTGGTCTTACTTGTAAAACCAAACACAGTAAATAGCCTAAAATCACTGATTTTGTTTACAGATTGAAATTCCTTTGTTTCTACTAAATGCTGAAGATGATCCCATTGTGCCCATGACTTTGGTCGATGTAGCGAAGGACTATGCTGGTAAGAGATTTAAAATAGGACACAAATATGGTTTGTTGGTTGTTTATGAAGCCCTGTCAACAACCAGTCATTATAAAAATATTGCCCTGTTAACAGCCAGTCATTATAAAAATATTGCCCTGTTAACAGCCAAAGTTATTAATAAAAATATCCCCCTGTCAACAGCCAGTCATTATAAAAATATCGCCCTGTCAACAGCCAGTCATCATAAAAATATTGCCCTGTCAACAACCAGTCATTATAAAAATATTGCCCTGTTAACAGCCAGTCATTATAAAAATATTGCCCTGTTAACAGCCAAAGTTATTAATAAAAATATCCCCCTGTCAACAGCCAGTCATTATAAAAAAGCCCTGTCAACAGCCAGTCATCATAAAAATATTGCCCTGTCAACAACCAGTTATCATAAAAATATCGCCCTGTCAACAGCCAGTCATTATAAAAATATTGCCCTGTTAACAGCCAAAGTTATTAATAAAAATATCCCCCCTGTCAACAGCCAGTCATTATAAAAATATTGCCCTGTCAACAGCCAAAGTTATTATAAAAATATCCCCCTGTCAACAGCCAAAGTTATTATAAAAATATCTCCCTGTCAACAGCCAAAGTTATTATAAAAATATCCCCCTGTCAACAGCCAAAGTTATAAAAATATCCCCCTGTCAACAGCCAAAGTTATTATACTGCTAGTAGTAGGTGGTGAATACCTCACTGAACAACATGTGAGAGGCCCATCATTTGTTATTTATAGCAGTTGGGGTATAGGGTCTTTCGCAAGGACACAAATATGGAAATCATTTTACCTTAGTACAGAGTTACTCAACAAAAACATTTTCTCATGCTTTCTTTAATTTGAACCAAATTTTAATTCTTGCAAATGTTAAAATAAATTTATAAAAAAAAAATTCACATTACTCTACTAGAACAAGACACTCAACACCATTCCCATGCACATTCAGACTAAAGAAAATGAAATATCAATTAACAAGATTTAAATGCTGTTTATCTTAGATAATACACATACACCCTCACAGGTAAAACAAACAAAAGGAACTCTGGTCAGGTGACCAAACAGGAACTGTGGCGTAGATCACAGGTGTGACAACAGAGCCTAATGTGTGTACTTACTAATATAACACTCAACAAATTCCAAATCATTTTACTTAAGGAAGATATTCTTTTTTTGATATTAACCTCCATGTCAAAAGAGTTCCTCATAAAAGTACATGTCTTGTGGAAATTTTTCTTGTTATATTTTACTACAGAATGTGTAATCTTCATTGGTCTCTTCTATTATGTAAGCCATATAGATCACAGGAAATATTTAGAGAAATTCTCGTCCTGATAAAAACTTGAAGGAAATTCTTCTTTGGATATACAATGATATGGCTATCTATGCATCTTATCTGTATTCCTGTTGTAAATATTTAAATATAATGTCATTTCTTACATACAATAGAAAGGAAAAAAGGAGCATATAAAATAGATTATCCCACATCTGTTACCAGTGGTAGATTTGGATAGATTTTTATATTATGTATTACAGTCACCTCTTTATGATTTCAAAGATAAAATATCACAATTAAAAAATGGGGAGATAACTCCTATATATTTTTACTGCATATTTTTTATATCAATGAAAAATGTGTGCATTTATAGATTCATTTAAATACCATTTCTGTTTTTCATCTTCCTTTTTTCACATTTTCAGTTTAAAATTTCTAAAGTGCTTGGGCCCTTGTTCCTTTTTTTATGTAAAAAACAGTTTTAGTCAAATTTTCAATTTTAACAATCAATATGTCATAGATAATTTGATTTTCTTGACAGTAAAACACGACAAGAGTCTGCTAGCTGTGACGAAACATGGTGGCCATCTTGGATACTTTGAGGGGCGTGGTTTGTGGGCTGACCCTATCACTTGGCTGGATCGTTCTATTATTCAATACACCAATGCTATCATTGCCTTTCACATCCGTGGAAAATTGTGACGAAGATTGAAGTCATAGAAAGAATTAATTTTTTTGCTGCACCAGTGCTTCTTGTCAATTTTTTGATATAGATGTTGCTTTCCACATTTTTTACAAATGTTGACCAATTTAAATTTTCGTCTCTGAGTAAAAACAAATTTTGTTTATTTTTACATAAATTTTTTTTTGTACTTTAATCTTAGTGCATAAATTAGTTCTACAGTACAAGGTTTAGAGAAGAATGATACTCCAGTTATCTTGTGATCGGGGTAAAAGAAGAATGCACTAAATTTTGATCATACTTAACATAGGTCGGGTCTAAAGTATTACACACGTCTTAAAACACTAGTGTAATGGGTTTCATAAAAAACATTTTTAAAATCCAAGGGTTTTGCATAACAAACCATCTACTTTGCAATCTTGAAATATATAATAATCAAACTGATGGTAAATAGTGAGCAATGTTATTGGTTAAGAATCACAAAAACTGACCAATCACGAGGCTGATCCATTTCATTGAAAAAGAAGGGACCCCATATAAATCTGTCCCCCTTTACATTATTTTACAATTCTTTGCGTTGGAACTGACTGGTGTTTTGTAGGTTTGCGTTGGAACTGACTGGTGTTTTGTAGGTTTGCGTTGGAACTGACTGGTGTTTTGTAGGTTTGCGTTGGAACTGACTGGTGTTTTGTAGGTTTGCGTTGGAACTGACTGGTGTTTTGTAGGTTTGCGTTGGAACTGACTGGTGTTTTGTAGGTTTGCGTTGGAACTGACTGGTGTTTTGTAGGTTTGCGTTGGAACTGACTGGTGTTTTGTAGGTTTGTGTTGGAACTGACTGGTGTTTTGTAAGTTTGTGTTGGAACTGACTGGTGTTGGAACTGACTGGTGTTTTGTAAGTTTGTGTTGGAACTGACTGGTGTTTTGTAGGTTTGTGTTGGAACTGACTGGTGTTTTGTAAGTTTGTGTTGGAACTGACTGGTGTTTTGTAGGTTTGTGTTGGAACTGACTGGTGTTTTGTAGGTTTGTGTTGGAACTGACTGGTGTTTTGTAGGTTTGTGTTGGAACTGACTGGTGTTTTGTAGGTTTGGTTTGCGTTGGAACTGACTGGTGTTTTGTAGGTTTGGTTTGACGTTGGAACTGTACTGGTGTAGGTTTGTGTTTTGTAGGTTTGCGTTGGAACTGACTGGTGTTTTGTAGGTTTGTGTTGGAACTGACTGGTGTTTTGTAGGTTTGCGTTGGAACTGACTGGTGTTTTGTAGGTTTGCGTTGGAACTGACTGGTGTTTTGTAGGTTTGCGTTGGAACTGACTGGTGTTTTGTAGGTTTGCGTTGGAACTGACTGGTGTTTTGTAGGTTTGTGTTGGAACTGGTGTTTTGTAGGTTTGTGTTGGAACTGACTGGTGTTTTGTAGGTTTGTGTTGGAACTGACTGGTGTTTTGTAGGTTTGTGTTGGAACTGACTGGTGTTTTGTAGGTTTGTGTTGGAACTGACTGGTGTTTTGTAGGTTTGTGTTGGAACTGACTGGTGTTTTGTAGGTTTGTGTTGGAACTGACTGGTGTTTTGTAAGTTTGCGTTGGTAGGTTTGTGTTGGAACTGACTGGTGTTTTGTAGGTTTGTGTTGGAACTGACTGGTGTTTTGTAGGTTTGTGTTGGAACTGACTGGTGTTTTGTAGGTTTGTGTTGGAACTGACTGGTGTTTTGTAGGTTTGTGTTGGAACTGACTGGTGTTTTGTAGGTTTGTGTTGGAACTGACTGGTGTTTTGTAGGTTTGTGTTGGAACTGACTGGTGTTTTGTAGGTTTGCGTTGGAACTGACTGGTGTTTTGTAAGTTTGCGTTGGAACTGACTGGTGTTTTGTAGGTTTGCGTTGGAACTGACTGGTGTTTTGTAGGTTTGCGTTGGAACTGACTGGTGTTTTGTAGGTTTGTGTTGGAACTGACTGGTGTTTTGTAGGTTTGTGTTGGAACTGACTGGTGTTTTGTAGGTTTGTGTTGGAACTGACTGGTGTTTTGTAAGTTTTCATATCAATCAAATTGTTTCTTCCACCTGGTGGAGCACTTGATGCCCAACATAGACATATCCAGATCAGAACCCTTGGATTTTAAAGATATGTTGTCCATCCTGGCCACCCCTTCAAATGTATTTATGGAAAAGTTGTATTGTTTTTTTAATATTAGTCCATCCCATTTATCTTTTTTGGGGGACACAAGCTGAAATTTTTTATTAATTATTTTGTTTGATGTCTGATCATCTTGATTCTGTTTATAATCATGGTAAACAATAAGACTAGCTTTTTTTTTTTTTTTTATTAAAAGTGAAAACTATTGATTAAAATTTTATCTAAATCAGAAGGAAACTAGAGTTACCTCCCTTGTTCGTGACAGATATACTGGGGTAGTATATATATATATACATATATATGCATGTAAAACTTCTGATACTTTCATGAAGATATTTTTGAATCAATCTGTTGTCATAGAAACTGAATTTGTATTCTTTTATTTCACTACCATGAATATTTTTGATACACAGGTAAAAATTTTCATAACCAGAATTTGCAAATTTAATATTAGATCATAGAAAATTTGAAGAAAAATTAATAAAAAAATGAGATCTTGAATGTTGATATGAATGTGAAAATGAAATATATATGTATCTGTAAATGACTTAAATACATTGCTGGCCTTTTTCATTAGAAAAGAAAGTGTGAAACCTTGTTTTATATATGATAATATCATTGTATAGTATTGATGTCTGTTAATGTAATAGACACCAATTGGAATATTGTATTGTTGATGAAAACCTGACTTTTCATTTCTTACTTATCATTTTCTCTACATTGATCTCAGGGGACCAACAAATAAGCTTGTAAGGACTGAAGATGGCCTTCATATTCAAAAATCTTGTAAATGACTTTAGAATGTCCTCAAAGAAAAATTGCCTTAAAGATTGAATTCAACTTCAGAAATCCTGAAAAGAAGATCGCCTTTAAAAGTTCTGATACAGAAATCACCTTTAAAAAAGTTCTGATACAGAAATCGCCTCAAAAAGTCCTGATACTGAAATCACCTTTTAAAGTTCTGATACAGAAATCACCTTTAAAAAAGTTCTGATACAGAAATCGCCTCAAAAAGTCCTGATACTGAAATCACCTTTTAAAGTTCTGATACAGAAATCACCTTTAAAAGTTCTGATACAGAAATCACCTTTAAAAGTTCTGATACAGAAATTGCCTCTAAAAGTCCTGATACTGAAATCACCTTTTAAAGTTCTGATACAGAAATCACCTTTAAAAGTTCTGATACAGAAATCACCTTTAAAAGTTCTGATATGGAAATCACCTTTAAAAAAGTTCTGATACAGAAATCGCCTCAAAAAGTCCTGATACTGAAATCACCTTTTAAAGTTCTGATACAGAAATCACCTTTAAAAGTTCTGATACAGAAATTGCCTCTAAAAATCCTGATACTGAAATCACCTTTAAAAGTCCTGCAACAGAAATCTCCTTTTAAAGTCCTGATACGGAAATTGCATTTTAAAGTCCTGCAATGGAAATCACCTTTAAAAGTTCTGATACGGAAATCGCCTTTAAAAGTCCTGATACCGAAATTGCCTTTAAAAGTTCTGATATGGAAATCACCTTTAAAAGTCCTGATACGGAAATTGCCTTTAAAAGTTCTGATACGGAAATCACCTTTAAAAGTTCTGATACGGAAATCACAATTAAAAGTTCTGATACGGAAATCACCTTTAAAAGTCCTGATACGGAAATTGCCTTTAAAAGTTCTGATACGGAAATCACCTTTAAAAGTTCTGATATGGAAATCACCTTTAAAAGTTCTGATATGGAAATCACCTTTAAAAGTCCTGCAACAGAAATCTCCTTTTAAAGTCCTGCAACAGAAATCACCTTTTAAAGTTCTGATACGGAAATCGCCTTTAAATGTCCTGACACGGAAATCGCCTTTAAAAGTCCTGATACGGAAATTGCCTTTTAGTCCTGATACGGAAATTGCCTTTAAAAGTTCTGATACGGAAATTGCCTTTTAGTCCTGATACGGAAATTGCCTTTAAAAGTTCTGATACGGAAATCACCTTTAAAAGTTCTGATATGGAAATCACCTTTAAAAGTCCTGCAACAGAAATCTCCTTTTAAAGTCCTGCAATGGAAATCACCTTTAAAAGTTCTGATACGGAAATCGCCTTTAAATGTCCTGATACGGAAATCGCCTTTAAAAGTCCTGATACGGAAATTGCCTTTTAGTCCTGATACGGAAATTGCCTTTAAAAGTTCTGATACAGAAATCACCTTTAAAAGTCCTGATACAGAAATTGCCTTTAAAAGTTCTGATACAGAAACCACCTTTAAAAGTCCTAATTTAGAAATCGCCTTTAAAAGTCCTGATTTGGAAATCGCCTTTAAAAGTTCTGATACGGAAATCACCTTTAAAAGTCCTGATACGGAAATCGCCTTTGAAAGTCCTGATACGGAAATTGCCTTTGAAAGTGCTGATACGGAAATCGCCTTTAAAAGTCCTGATTTGGAAATTGCCTTTAAAAGTCCTGCAACGGAAATCGCCTTTAAAAGTCCTGATTTTGAAATTGCCTTTAAAAGTCCTGATACAGAAATCGCCTTTAACAGTCCTGCAACAGAAATCACCTTTAAAAGTCCTGATTTGGAAATTGCCTTTAAAAGTCCTTATATGGATATCGCCTTTAAAAGTCCTGATTTGGAAATTGCCATAAAAGTCCTGCAACGGAAATCACCTTAAAAAGTCAAGAAATGGAAATCATTTTAAAAAGTCCTCAAATCTGAACACAGGTATAAGCACCAGATAATTCATTTTTCACTGTTTTTCTTTGTGACTACCTATCAAGTTGCCTCCCCTTAAGTGTTGCTATGATGAATATGATGAGTTTCCCATTGTTATTCACCTATTCATATCTTAGTTGAATTCAGTTCCGACGGTATCACTGGCTTCATAATATATATTATTATACCATTCTGTCAAATTTAGGTCACTTTCATCAAATTTAGGTCACCTTCATCAAATTTAGGTAACTGTCATCAAATTTAGGTCACCGATATCTATATTTCTGCTTGCTTACTTTGATTAGACATCAAATTTAGTTTGTGCTTCATTGTATTTTAACATTATTACAATAGTAAGTCATTAAGTTCTATTTAAAAAATAATCTCTCATATCTTTCGACCTTTTGGATTTACTTTTTAATGCTGGACTTTTGCTGAACAAGTGATAACAGTGGACTTTTCCCTGTAAATATCTATGATTTTTTTTATTTCTTTTGCTGATAGTAAATACAGGATTTTTTCCAAAGTTTTTCATTTACAGAATATTTTGTCGATGGAATTTTAATTTGACCAGCATGTTTAGATTGTTGTCATTTAAGTTGTTTTTCTTTGTGTCATAAATTTCTTCATTACTATCAATGTCCAGTCTGGTATTTACTATACAGATAAATACCCAGCCTGTTATTTACTATACAGATAAATACCCAGCCTTTATTTACTATACAGATAAATACCCAGCCTGTTATTTACTATACAGATAAATACCCAGCCTGTTATTTACTATACAGATAAATACCCAGCCTTTATTTACAATTGATAACAGGCTGATTATGTGATAAAATTAATTACTCAAAGAACTTTGAAGAAAATTAATTCATTTATAAATCATGCATATTTCCAAAAAATGAGAAAAAAATCCCTGTTTGTTGATACTTTGATTTGATTAGGATTAAAGTTTCAAAAGTTGATTTTCAACATTTCTTTTTGTTCTGAATAAAAGAAGTTTAACAAACCCAATCAAAAGCAAGTCCCGGTTCCTTGTTATGTGTAAAATAATTTTAGCCAATAGAATTGTCCGTTTCAAAAAGTTAACATCTTAAGAAGATTTGTTTTTATTTAACATGTATTAATAATTTTTCATTTTACTTCCTAATAAATGTTTTTGCTGAAAATTAGAATTTAATACATGCTAACAACAACAACAGTGGCCTATTTCTGCTTTTTTGAAGGGAAAACTTGAAAGAAATAAGCTGATAAATTTTAAGCTTGTATGAAAAAAGTGTTGTTGTTTTGACTGAAAAGATTTATATATGTCTTACTTGTATGTAATGACCTGAAATTTTGTAAATGTTTCAAATCTCATTATCATATTAATTTGACTTGGTAGTGTGATGGTTTAGTTACAATTTTTTCGTTCTGAAAATAGTTTCAAATCTGATGATGAAAAAATTGTTTTTGTTATTTTAAATCTGTCCAACTTTAAACTAATGATCTTAGACTTCAAAGTCTTCACAAACTGGAGATGTTTAGCTTGAAAGTCTTCACAAACTGGAGATCTTAAGCTTGAAAGTCTTCACAAACTGGAGATCTTAAGCTTGAAAGTCTTCACAAGCTGGAGATCTTAAGCTTGAAAGTCTTCACAAGCTGGAGATCTTAAGCTTGAAAGTCTTCACAAGCTGGAGATCTTAAGCTTGAAAGTCTTCACAAGCTGGAGATCTTAAGCTTGAAAGTCTTCACAAACTGGGGATGTTTAGCTTGAAAGTCTTCACAAGCTGGAGATCTTAAGCTTGAAAGTCTTCACAAGCTGGAGATCTTAAGCTTGAAAGTCTTCACAAACTGGAGATGTAAAGCTTGAAATCTTCACAAACTGGAGATGTAAAGCTTGAAATCTTCACAAACTGGGGATGTTTAGCTTGAAAGTCTTCACAAACTGGGGATGTTTAGCTTGAAAGTTTTCACAAACTGGGGATGTTTAGCTTGAAAGTCTTCACAAACTGGGGATGTTTAGCTTGAAATTTTTCATGAATTGGGGATTGTCGGTTGTGTTGCTTAAATTGAAATATTTTTCTGTTTAAACTTCTGATGCAGTTTATGACTAGCACACTTTTACTGGTGAGGGAAAATGACAGTTTAAGCCATCAGATTTGGACCAGGTTTTTCAAACTATATTTCACAAATTAAACTTAAGGCTCCAGTCCAAAATCGGAGACATCAGAAGAAGCATCACTTTAAATAACTGTAAATTTTTTTGTTGAATAAAATTAAGATTGAAGGAAAGTAGAAGAATTACACATTTTGTAACAACAATTTTTGTTTGTGAACTTGTCATGATTTGTGCATCTTTGTTAGAATTTGGTTATTTTCTTTTTCTATTTGTTCATTTGATGTATTTGTTATACATTTATATATATATTGTTTAATAGATTTGCTTTTTTTATAATTATTTTGTGAAAAGTTAGAATTAATATATGAAATTATTCATGACTTTGTCTAAAAAACCAAATGTGTCTTTTTTGCAATAAGATAGGTGACTGGTCAGATTCCAAAGTTTTATCTTGTTAATTCACACATTGAAATGAATTCATCATACCTGTCAAAGTTTCTTCTTCATGGCAAATAATTTTTTTTTTTTTTGGGGGGGGGAGGGGGGGGGGGGGGAATGGTGCCATGAATTTTATTTTGTATTATCATGTTTTTCGGGGAAAGCAACACAATGATAACTTTGTACATCTACAGCAATACCAACTTATAAAAGATATAGAAACTGCATTCATCATGATCGTTTCAATGCAAAAAGCTGTAAAGTACATAACTGCTGAAACATGTTCACTTGAAGTATGCGGTAGTGCTTTTTGATATTAGCCACATAGGGCGGTATACATTTAGATCACAGAATTATGATGGCTGACTTGTGTTGTTTCGTTGTTTCGTTTTGTCGCCCTGACAGAACAATTATCATCTTTTCTCTAAGAATGAATATTCCTCCTCCTCTTAACCCCCCCAAGTTTTAAGAAATGTGTCGTAAGTAATAAAAATCTCTTCATACTTCTGTTCTGTATTTGCGCTTAATTTATGTGAAAAGGAAAAAAAATTAAGTTACGTAGGATGAATTTGACAATGTTATTTTGGACAAAGTTGATATGAAATCTCATGTACACTATACATAGATTTTAGTTAATTTTTATAAGATATTTACAATAAGTTTGTTGTTATTTATCTGCTTACGATTTGTTTATTGTGTTTATTTTGTGTTGTTTATGCTTTTTCAGAGTAATATTACACCATTGTTTTGTAATACCCGGCTTTATATGGTGGATTTTTATTGTCTACTAACTTTCTTGATTTTTGTATCACAACTAGTTTTAGTAATTAATGTCGCATAACTACATTGTCACCTGTAAACCACTTTGTTATTTTGTGTTGATAAACATCCATTGTTTCCATTATAAAATCTGGCAAAGTAAATTGCATTTGAGGGAAAACTATTTACAACATAGGAATTTTTATGACAGAACTATTTTTTGTCACTCTCCTAAACTGGGTGGTTCGTCATTAATTATAATCTTCCTGTTAACGTCTACATTGTTATCTTCTTTTAGAAAACTCTGTTTTCAATCATCATGGATTGATTAGGGAGAGAAATATGTTAATTTGTATCAACTAAGTTTGATTGTTGTTTCAAGTAGACTAAACAGAGATTTTAGATTTATTATTTATGATAAACATGTCTACACATATATATCTAATTATCTTCTCATTTTTTATGCATATGTAGTAAAACCTGTCTATAAAGACCAATATGATGTAATACAGTTTTAGCAATGGAACCTGTATATAAAGGTCACCAGCCTGTAAACACAACCTTTCTCTGCTTTTTCTTGAGTGATCTTAACAGACCAGTTTGACTTTCTATAATAATGATTTATTCATTCTGTACTGAAATGTCTGTTTATTTATTTATTTCTGTTTGTTTAGTATTTACAGGTTTTGTTTATGTAACAGTGTTTATTTGATTAAGCATTCAGTCCTCGGACCATTGTTTTATAAATTGTTATCAAAATGTTAAAGATCTTGGGTTGAAATGTTAAAAAGTATCAGATTATTGAAACCAATAAAACTTTATAAGGTTCATTGGTCACTAATGGTTTCAGGATTCACTTCCACTTTCTTATAAATGAGAGAATTTAAGTGATAGATATACATCAGAATTTGGTTTTGAAATTCAACATGAATTTTTAAATTTAAATTTTGAAAATACAGTCGAGCCTTGCTGGCTCAAAATCATCAGAAGTATAGAGAAGCTTAGTGTTATCCAATTATTGTTTTAAGTAACGTCAAATGTTTGGTGTGAAGTTTGGCTGGGACCACTGAAATACTTTGAACTGAAAAGGGTCTACAAGCTATGAGTTCTGGAAAATGAGGTTAAAGTTTAAATCTATAATAATAGTATGATTTATTTGATTTATTGATAAAATGTTACAATGTATAATGTCACTAGAAAGGACTTCAGCCTAGAATTAATAATTATCAGAGCTGATTTCTAGGAAGAAATTATTTTTAAAACGAAAGTGTCCGATTTGTCCAAGAAAGTCGAGAAATTATGTAAAGACTGATACTATTTCAATATTTTTCATAATTCTGGTTTGTTTTAGAAATTAATGAGATATAACTACGACTTAATTTGATATTTATTTTAGTGATTAAACATGATCTGTATTCAAATAATGATTGGAGGAAAAATAGAATTTTTATTTTGTGTTCAAATTACATATGTGTACAATTGTCTTAACATTATTATCAACAAAAAAAATCCTTATGTAAGATTTTGAAGTTTGTACAATATACTTAGTGCATGTGTGTGTTCCCTTTTTTTTTTCTTTTGGCAAAAAAATATTTAGAAATCTGTTGTTGATATAAAAAATGTTCATTTTGCAGGAATGTTTGATTTTTTACCTGTCT